AAAAGAATTGCAATACCCGGGTCTTCTCAATGAAAGGTGGAAATGAGGCTCCATCTGTTTAAAAATCAAGCAAGTGGCAAGGGATTAGGGGAAATATGTGTCCTAGAAAAATCTAGAAATCTTAATTCCAGCATAGTTAAGAGAAATAGAATACAAACTGTATATATAACATTAAAATTCTCCAGTAGCCACATTTTAAAAATAAAATAAGTATCAGGTATATTTTATTTAACCCACCATATCCAAAATATCATTTTAACATGTAACCAATATAAAAACTAACAAATCTCAAGATCCAGTGTGTACTTACAGCCTATTTCAATTTTTACTAGCCACATTTCAAGTGCTTAATTGTGACACATGGCTAGTAGCTACCGTATTCAACAAGTCTATATACTATACACATTCACTGGTATCCATTCATATTAAATTTTCCTACTCCTTAAAAATAAATGAAAGTTTAAAAAAACAATGGCAAAACCACATGTTGTTAAAACTGTGATTGTGTTTGTTTTTGAAATCCCCACCCTATCTATAGAGTAGCACTTTTCTTACCATGAGGTTCATTTAGAACTCCTGTTTGGTAAATGGTCTTCTTACTTTTAATAGTGATTCATTCATCTGCCCTAATGGCTGATTAATATTTTTTAAATCATTTATTGAAGTTCTCTCACTAAATAGAATTTCCTGAAAATGGTTGGAAAAATATACACATCAAACTAAAAAGGGCATTTGTTGAGCTTATTGAATCTCTACTATGGTTATGATCCATGCACACACTGGATATAAGAAGAAATAGTTAGGTAATTCCTCCATTTGCTCCACAAATCAATATTACCAAAATGAGCCACTACTGAATGTGTTTGTTCAAAACAGTAAGACCCATCCTTCAATTATGAATACCACACTCTTTTTCTTATAACTGCACTAACCTTGTGATCTTATTACATTTCACTTATACTCTTGTGATAAGTGAAATACAACAGATGATCACAGTGAATCAGCATTGAGAGAATGAGATATTAAAGATTAGCTTAAACTCCCCAAACAGGTCCCTGAATGGGCGTTGCCTACAACTGTCTTCCCAACACCTTAGCCGTAAAAGAAAAGAATACATTGAAAAGCTTTAAAAAATCATTTGAAATATCATCGAAGATTATGTATTAATGACACCAGCAATTACCATGGGTCATGATCATAAGATAGCTGATATTAGCAGGGCTCTTTTTTAAATGCATTCAAATGTAAATCAGTGTTTTCCTTTTCTGTCTCTTTAAGTTTGTTGAAGAAGATAGAGGAATTACTTCTAAATCATGGTTAAAACTCCTTGGAACCTTTTCCATTTCATTAGTCTCTTTTCCCTAGTGCCATAACCAAAAATCTCTCTCACAGGCATGCCATCAGAGTCCTCTGGCCTGTTCAGTCTACCTCTGTTCCTAGTTTGTTTTACATCTATTTTCTTCTTAGATACTTTTAACTTCATGCCTGATACTCATGTAGTTATGTTATTGTCATTAATAAATCCTCTACCTCATTTTTAAAACTTCTTTCTTCTCAGTTTTGGACAAAAGTGTTTAATTTTTTTTTTCTTAAACCCATAAAGACTCCTTTACTATTTAGGAGAAGCACAATATATTTCTCTCTGTATCTAAGGATACAGTATGAAGTTTATGGTTATGAAATTACTAGAGTTAGTGGTATTGGGACACTTGACAATTTATTGGCAGAAATGAACTACTTAGAAAGGAATTTCTTCACCCAATTCCATGACTCAAAGCACTACAAAGCAAACTCAACCGTGGTTTTGCTGTTTTTTCTTCAAGAGAGTATTAAAAAATTAAATCAACATGCAAAACTCAGTAATACCTTTGGAAAAGTAAACATTCCCCATGTTTGCTTTTTATTCCCTACCTTTTACATAACTTTGTATTTAACATTTTTCACTTTCATTATATTACTTTCCTATGAAGTATTGCCTAACTAGCTTTGTAAGCATTATGGTCTGCTTCTGCTTTTTAGCAGCTGAGAGCTCACCTCCTGGTATTCAATTCCCATTGCTTTTTACAATCTTAATTCTTAAACTCATAGGCATATATATACTTTGCTTTACTTCAAGAAGAATAATAAGCTGGATCTAACCATGCTTAAATCTAAGTACATAGTACTTTCTTTCTTCCTAACTCTAATTCAGGATGTTCATTTTTGCATACATTTTTCATGGTTAGTACACATGTAACCTTGTTTTTGTTGCTGTTGTTGTTCTTTTCTCTCTTTCTGACCATCTTCTTCACAATAGGTGGCTCTGCTTACAAGTTCACTGATTCTAACTCAGCCTGAAATCTTTGGAGGTATGTCTTACCTTTTGTAATTATCCTGATATTTTAATTCCTTTAATTTTAAATTATTATCTTTATAGTATTTACAAAAGATGTGAACAGTAACCACTACTCTAAGGTTTTCTAACCCTTTACTTCTGTGGTCAGGAAGGAGTTCGTTAAGTTTGTACAAAGCAAACGTTTCCCCAGAAATGCAGTAAAGGCTCATCCTCGATGGTTAATCTTGAGAAATTCCATCACATTAGACAGACATTTACTAAACCTACATAAGAACAGAGACTCTGAATTATGTTGCAGGAATACAAAGATAGGCAAACGCATACACTCAACGCCCAGAACATTGTAGGTATGGAGGTGGATTTGTGGGAGAAAGGAGTTGGTTTCATTGTGATTATTACCACAAAACATATGCCCTTGGGCTTCCCTGGTGCCGCAGTGGTTGAGAGTCCACCTGCCGATGCAGGGGACACGGGTTCGTGCCCCGGTCCGGGAAGATCCCACATGCCGCAGAGCGGCTGCTCCCGTGAGCCATGGCCGCTGAGCCTGCGCGTCCGGAGCTTGTGCTCCGCAACGGGAGAGGCCACAACAGTGAGAGGCCCGCGTACCACACACAAAACAACAACAACAACAACAACAACAAAAACATATGCCCTTACCTGTACCATTAATCATGTCACAATAATTTGGCCAATAGGAGAGATGCCTTAGGAATAAAAAAAATAGAAAATGATATTCTTATTTCAAGGGCACCTTTCTCACATCACTTTGTCTATTATGATTCAGTACTTCTGCTAAAATAATAAATATTGATTAGACTAGATGTGACAGGCTAAGTTTAAGAAATGTTCTAAATCATTTGATCCATGTTTTGTTTGAAGTTTCCATTTTGTTGAGTTAAATGAAGTGCCTGAAACCATTAAGTGATCAGATTATAAAATAAAAACTGCCAAATGTTGTTAGAAACAACATGGAACAGAAACAGTTCTGCAGAAAAGAAAATTGAGAAACATTTATCAGACACTTAGATCTTTTAGGGGAAAGTTTTTTTCCCAGTGGGATTATTTCATAGTATGTTGCATTCAAACTGAATAGGAGGAAGATAGTAAATGGATAACTGATGTAAACTCAGTATGAGGGAGAAGAGGGGAGTGTGGAGGAGGAAAGAAAGAGAAGCAGATGTTGGATCAATCGAGATTGGAAACATAGATAATTTATACTTTTCCTTCTCTTTTAACTCTTGCAATAACTGGCATTTAAGTAGGACAGAGTTTATTAATTTATGCTCTGGCATCTACAAAAGATATATATATATATTCAGTATATATATATATATATATATATATATGGAAGCAATAAAGACAACAGTAGTGATAGTTGCTCTGCACACTCAGCCACTTTTTGGTGATGGAAAATGGGTTTTTCACACTCCTAACATACCATCCAGTAAGATGTCAAGGCAAGCTATTGCTTCTTTTTTAAACAGAATAAGTGATTAATCATGCTCAGTCTTGCCATGATCAGTTAAATTAACCTTGTCATAATCTTAAACTCTCCTTAAAACCTATCTGTAATATTGAAATAGAGGAAATGCTCATTTTCCTCAATACAGAGATGTGATTCCCCTGAAGTGAGCATTTAGAAGTGTTTGTTTTCCTCCATTAGACTTTTCTATAAAAAATATGTGACTGTGGACTCTGTGGAAGAAAAAGGACTACACGAGTGAGCGTTTAACTGTTTTAAGCAATTTTTAGATAGGAACTCAGTGTGAGGCAAGAGTTACTTAAAATATTTCATCTCTTGATTTTGATTACTTTATTCTTTGTCAGGAAATCACTGATCTAAAACTCATTTTAACTTTAAGGAGGAAAGACTTTCTCCCTTGATATTTATTGGGGTTCTTCCTATTTTAGACATATGATGAATTTGGTATACTCCAGATAAACAGGTAGGAGCTAGGGAAAAATAGGAAATCATGGCTATGTGAACATATCTCATTTTACTACTATTTCACAGGAGGTGTGCTCTTTGTCTTCAAGTTTAATATGTCAATTTTAGAACTTGAAATACTAATTCCATTTTTTCATTGATAAAGGTTTAAAAAAGCTGAGTTATCAATATAGAAAATTATTTCAAGAAAATGTTGAAAGGGAAGGTCATGAAAGCGTTGGCATGGATACATTGAGCTTCCACCTTATGGCACATTTAGTCACGTTACTGGAATGAGCAATTTTTATATTCCATGCTCAGTAAAAAAAAAAAAAAAAAACCACCCAGTAATATATACTTTTCAACCTGCTAGACACCGAGTTGATTTTCTTCCTTTTCATTTGTGGTTATGTAATTGTACGGGTGCTTGATAGTGCCTGTTGTGCAGCAGAGATGGAAGTAGTCCCTTTAGATTTCTTTATGTAAGAGACCCTGTGCATAAACGTCAACCCTCAAGTGGGGCTGATACTCAGCACCTATGCACTAGTGTGACTAGTCATCACAACTAAAGGGTTAACACCTGGCAGAACAGGAGTTTCTAGGGCTGAGATACAGGCAGGTCTGTTCCATAGGTTGGTGCCTGTGCATTACCAGTTGTTAAATAAGTTTCTTACCTACCTTAGAGTATCCTAGTGACACACACACACATACACATACACACTTTGCCTGGATACTTACTTTTTGCCTTTATATGTGTCAATTATGGCAACTTTGCTTATGTCATCTTTTCCATTGAAAACTTTATAAACTCCATCTGCAGTATTGTGGTACTGAAAAGATGCATACAAGAAAAAATTAATTCTAGAACAAGCCATATTTTCCAAGTTATAAAATATGTAATTAACTCACTTTTGCATTTCTCAAACACTGTTTATAATTATTTTATGTAATTTGAAATATATATGCAATAAAGTTTTAAAATTATTGGTCTTTAACATTTTAAAAAGACAGAATATGAAAGGTACCTAGAAATAAGTGCTAGATGCTGAGCAAAGGAAGAAAACAAATATAAGAAGCTGATGTGATCCAACTCTATCCCTCTTTGCCGTAATTAAGCCAGAAAGGCCATTTTGATCACTCCTCCTATTATATTGAGGTGATGGAATAGTGAACAAAACCTATGAGAACTGTGACAGATTTCTAGAAGTTTTCTCAACGTTATTATTTCTAAGAAGTGGTTACTAAAGATTAGGTACACAGAATTAAAAACAGAATTAGCCAACGAAAGAATTCAGAGTATTTAGTTAAATACTAGTAACTGAATTTTTTATCCCTTAATGCTTTCTTAATTGATATATAACCTTGCAATCCTAAAAAACCATCTACAGTAAAATAGCAACAGTGAACTGGAGAATATAACTAATGTCACATACAGTGCCAAGTGAAATCATGGTCAAAATTTCAATTCACTAGTCAGATTATCCTATTTATAACTTGAAACATTAAGGTATAACTAAGTACATCACCAAGTTCACATTTTTCTTAATCTCCAAGCTGCCATTTCATAACTTTTGTAGATTATAGAAATTCTTTTCAACTAATTCTATGAAAATATGACATTGCTGATGTATTAGTCTCATTGGGTGCAATTTTAGCTAAGTTTTAAATATTCAGTACAACCAATTTGTAGGATGTCTAGAGAAGGAAGAATGACATGACGAATATATTTAACATAAATAAATAAAAATGTGGCATTAAACTTGATTTTTTAGACAGGAAATCAAAACCAAAAACAGTGCTCAAAGCCTTGCCAGCTTACAATCTAATTTTAGATAGTTGTATATTTATCAGAGTGGAAACTTGATTAAATGTTCAGTTTCTTAATTTTAAATTAAATTGTTAAAAAAATTTAATTGTTAAATTCAGATAAGTAAATTTTCCCAACCAGGAAAGCTAAACCCGTGTGAGATGGAGACTTAAAAAACTTAGAATATGTATTCCCAGATCAGAAATAGGGTTAACACACTAAATGATAAAATTATGAATTAACAATGCCATTATATTTATCCAATTAACGTTTAACAATATTGACATTCATATTTGGTACTCACAGGGTAAAACACACCGACTGTAGTAGGAACCGGGTATGGAATCAAGCTCAAGAATGGATCCTTATAGCCCCATAATAGTTCTTTCAAAGTTCTCTTTTGAAACATAGAAGAGTTTGATTTTTTGATAAAGATATTGACTATTATTTGAACAAATGCGCTTGGATAGAGATGGGGCACAGCCTATAAAAAAAAACCACTGTTTAAGACACCAATAGCTATATCAGATTTTTAAGAAGAAATGGATAAATAGTACAATTAAGTTTAATAAAACAACTTTCAACTGTTTCTTTAAAATTACTGCCAAATCTTTCCAGGACTAAAAGTGTAATTTTCTTCATCTCTGAATGATGATTCAGACACTTTTCAGACACTTTTCTCTGTCTCAGTGTGAGCCACAGGAAGAAGATTTCAAAGTTAAATCCTACTTTTTTAAAATGATACACTTTAAGTGGTCTTCTCAATTCAGTTGATTATTCTATGATCTTGTCATCTTTCCAAATGACCGTAATTCAAAATAATGCCAAATGAACACATTTTCATAAAAATGACAAAACAAAAAATATTTAATGATAGCTCTAGTCGTGAGATTAATTACAGAGGATTCTAGAGTATTTCAAAACCAGTAATTTCACTGTTTGTCTACTCACTGCTACAGCCAGATTGAGAACAGTGAAAGTGTCATTCTCGGTTCCAACTGATAGTGAGGGTTCAAAGATGGCACCGTTGGGCTGTAGGAAAGAGACCGTGTGGGTCTCAGAGTCTTGGGTTATATTTTCCTTGGCTAGATAACGAACTCTGAAAAAAAAAGTAAATAAAATTCAAAATAATTGTTGCAAGTGAACATTAAGTCTCAAATGCCGTTCATTCATGCAACAAATAATTTTTGAGTGCACAGACTATGTCAGAAATTAGGCTAAACAGGTGGGTTAAAATGATATATAAGCAAATGCTGAGTTTCTAGCAAATCAGAGAAGGTGGGGAGGGGTGGGTGGGGAGGTGTCTTAGAGGTGCAGAGCAGGGGAGAAGGAGTACGCGTTATTATAGGAGTTTACACAGAGTCTGTGGGAAAACACAGAACAGGTACAAACCCAGGCTTGGGATGGTTATGGGGGGATAATGGACAAGATACAATTCCACATAAGTGGTCTGAATGACAAGGAGAAGTTTAGTTAGGTAAAATAGGGTAGAAAGTAGCATGTAGAACATTAAGGAGTAAGAACATGGTATAATTTTAGATATGCAAACTTTTTTTTTTAAATATCTGTATCGGAGTATAATTGCTTTACAATGGTGTCTTAGTTTCTGCTTTATAAGTCAGAAAGAAAAACAAATACCATGTGCTAACACATGTATCTGCAAACATTTTACTATGGTTGGTTTACAGAGTTAGAGTAAGGAGAGTGGTGGAAATAAAGCCACTAAAATAAACAAGATCTCAAACACAAAAGGGTTGTGTCCTGTACTCAGATATTTAGCTTTTTATCCTGAGGGTCAGGAGGAGACAGCAGAGAGGTTTAAGGAAGGGAACAGTAAAAGCATGTCTTCTTACATTAGAAAGACTGTTCAAAGTGCACAGCCTTGCCAGCACTGTTTTTTTCATAATTTCCAGTATTTTAATGAGAAGGATAACTAATGGAATATAATTTCCACTTAAGAGATCAATTCCCCTCCATCTCTGCCTCATATATTGTATACTTATTAGCTCTAAGCTCCTGGCTCTAAAATCTCTAGGCAAAGTACCAACTACTTTTTAGGAATGTGGTGAAAGGTCATATTATGGAAAAAAAAATCTTTTGCCAGTACAAGATATTTACTGAGATGAAATAAGGTAGACGTTGCATTATCATATATTTGAATGTCTATTATTTGAGGCTACAGTAGTTATCTATTATTATTTAACTAAGATAAAGACTGAAAAAAACATGGGACTGAAATGTATAAAACATAACAAACCAAAAAAGCCACACATTTCAATCAGGTACAATACCTGTAGGGTTGGTATTATGAGTGTTTTTTTTATTCCCACAGTGCCTGCTACTTGGTAAGTTCTCAACAAAAAATTTTGAATGAATAAATTAATTAATACCTCACATTAATATCTCAAAAGAGAATTCAAAAAAGATATAAATATGTTTTACTTTTAATATAATTTCTTCAAAGCTTTATTATTTACTTTTCTCTGAGTACTGTAGACATACAAAGAATATAAAAATCTGAAACAGCAGCCAGGACAGTCTATTAATAGTCAATTACTATTTCCTCTTAGATAATTGTATTTTAAACTTATATTACATATTATTAACATTTAAAATTAAAATGCTCTAATTTTCAGGAACATTTATGTGTATATAATAATTGAGATAACAGCAAAATAATTGTGACCCAATTCTAGTTTACTTAGTTGTACTTACAATACTATACCAGTAGATGGCACTCACCAAGAGAAAAAAAATCCTTTAAACTGAGGCCTGTGTGTACAATGTACTTTTAAAAAGAGAACATAATCACTGAATTTTTGGTTTAAAATTTAGAGTATAAGGAATTTCCTGGCGGTCCAGTGATTAGGACCCCACGCTTCCATTGCCGGGGGCATGGGTTCTATCCGTGGTTGCAGAACTAAGATCCTGCATGCCGTGCAGGGTGCAGCCAAAAGAAAAAAAAAAGAAGAATATATACAGGTTTTAGAAAGGTGGTTTTTTTTTTAATTTTTATTGGGGCATAGTTGACTTACAGTGTTGTGTTAGTTTCAGGTGTACAACAAAGTGAATTAGTTATACATATATCCAATCTTTTTTATTTCTTTTTCCGTATAGGCCATTACAGAGTATTGGGTAGAGTTCCCTGTGCTATACAGTAGGTCCTTATTAGTTATCTGTTTTATATATAGTAGTGTGTATATGTCAATCCCAATTTATCCCTTCCCCCCTCCCCTTATCCCCTGGTAACCATAAGTTTGTTTTCTATATCTGTGACTCTATTTCTGTTTTGTAGATAAGTTCATTTGTACCCTTTTTACAGATTCCACATATAAGTGATATCATACGATATTTGTGTTTCTGTGTCTGACTTACTTCACTCAGTATGACAATCTCTAGGTCCATCCATGTTTCTGCAAATGGCACTATTTCATTCTTTTTTATGGGTGAGTAATATTCAATTGTATATCTGTACCATATCTTCTTTATCCATTCCTCTGTTGATGGGCATTTAGGTTGCTTCCATGTCCAAGCTATTGTAAATAGTGCTGCAGTGAACACTGGGGTGCATGTATCTTTTTGAATTATGGTTTTCTCCAGATATATGCCCAGGAGTGGGATTGCTGGATCATATGGTAGCTCTGTTTTTAGTTTTTTAAGGAACCTCCGTATACTGTTCTCCATAGTGGCTGCACCAATTTACATTCCCATCAACAGTGTAGGAGGGTTCCCTTTTCTCCACACCCTCTCTAACATTTATTGTCTGTAGATTTTTTGATGGTGGCCAATCTGACAGGTGTGAGGCAATACCTCATTGTAGTTTTGATTTACATTTCTCTAATTATTAGTGATGTTGAGTGTCTTTTCGTGTATGTTTTAGCCATCTGTATGTCTTCCTTGGAGAAATGTCTATTTATATCTTCTGCCCATTTTTTGATTGGGCTGTTGGTGGTTTTTTTTTTTTTAACTGAGCTGCATGAGCTGTTTATATATTTGGAGATTAATCCCTGTTGTTTGCTTCATTTGCAAATATTTTTTTCCCATTCTGAAGGTTGTCTTTTCCTTTTGTTTATGGTTTCCTTTGTTGTGCAAAAAGTTTTTAAGTTTAATTAGGTCCCATTTGTTTATTTTTGTTTTTATTTTCACTATTCTAGGAGGTGGATCAAAAAAGATATTGCTGCAATTTATGTCAAAGAGTGTTCTGCCTGTTTTCCTCTAAGAGTTTTATAGTTTCTGGCCTTATATTTAGGTCTTTAATCCATTTTGAGTTTATTTTTTTGTATGGTGTTAGGGAGTGTTCTAATTTCATTTGCTTACATGTAGCTGTCCAGTTTTCCCAACACCACTTATTGAAGAGACTGTCTTTTCTCCATTGTATATCCTTGCCTCCTTTGTCGTAGATTAGGTGACCATAGGTGAGTGGGTTTACCTATGGACTTTCTATCCTGTTCCATTGATCTATGTTTCTATTTTGGTGCCAGTACCATACAGTTTTGATTACTGTAACTTTGTAGTATAGTCTGAAGTCAGGGAGCCTAATTCCTCCAGCTCCATTTTTCTTTCTCAAGATTGCTTTGGCTATTCAAGGTCTTTAGTGTTTCCATACAAATTGTAAAATTTGTATTAATAAGGTCAAAGGGAGGAATCTGCCTCAGGTTTTGCTTTCTGTGTACTCCTGCCAAAGCAAAGTAATTAAAAAAAAAGACTTATGTTGGATCTGAGAATATTCAGAAGGAGTTACTGGGTCTTCATAGAGATGTAGGTTGGAATAATAATTAAGATGTCTATCCAGGTAATTTCATGCTTTGACCCATGTCACACCTTGTCAAAGTTTCATCAAGCTCACATTAGCAGCCATTCTGTTTAAGGAGGGACATCCTCCTCCACTTCCAATTTCAGTTGAGTTCAGGGTGTAATTGATGGGGAGGCAGGTTCAACTCAACACATGGAAGACTCTCAAATTATTAACTTTTTCTGAAAGGTGACCAGTCGTTTTCCCATCATTTAAGGCATCCAAGCAGACACTAAGGACTCTGTTTTGTCAACATCATGAGAAAAGATGACTCACAGTTGATCATAAATTCCTTTAACATTGTTATATAAATAGGAGTTTATTGTTTACATACTTTAGCTGCAAATCTAACTTCTCTTCTCCAATCCTCCCCATATTGCTTCTCCAAGTAAATCAATTATATCTAACCCACCCCCTTTCATCCCTTAGAGAGATAGGTTAAAGCCTCTAAAAATAAAATTTATATTAACTGTCACCTATCAGAGCAGGACTAGCACAGGATTCAATATTATGTTTATGTTTTCTGATACTCCAGTTAATATCTTTAAAAGTAAAAACATAACCCCTTCCAAACAAATAAAAAATTAAACAAAAAACTTGATCAGCTCTCAAATTCTAACAAATATTCTCACACATACTGAGTTCTCTTAGAGTATATTTATTTATTGACTGATTAATTTAACATTTACTCTATTGTGTTGTATAAAGTACCTATGTAATGCAAGCATATACTGTCCTAAAATATTTCCAAATAACATGTGGTGTAGCCCACAGTCTCTGCAGAAGCACTGTGAGTAACCTGTGCCTTTACACTTTACAATCCATTTATGGCTGCTGTGAAAAGTGTGATAACAGACGAAGAAAAAAAAATAAAGCTAAATATGAAGACACCTTTCCAAACATACACAGCTTACAATGGAACGCCAATGGAAAAAGTCAAATGAGCACATTTGATGTAGTATCTCTAAAATGTAGACTCTTCAGTAAAAAGCCAAAGGCACATAAAAATATATTTTAACTTTAAAATAACTTACTGTAATACTTTGCTTGTGTCTTACCAACATGTTGCTGACAGTCAAAATTTCAGGATATAGATATAATATATAGGGATATATAAGAGCTACAAGCAAATCTCCAAAACCCATCAAGTTGTTCAAATGTGGAAACAGAGAAAAATTTTAACAGTGGAGAATTTGCTATGGTGAACCCAAACAATATAATATAGAAAGGAGTCTAGAAAAAAGGCTTAGGTGTTAAACAAATTTTGACTTCCCCTTGCTCAGAAAATGCCAAAGTACTGTAAAGGTCCTTAATGTGACTGGCACAGCCCTTCATAGCTAGATAGTGCCAATCCTGGCCAAGCCAGATTTCTGACCTGTCTGGAAGCAAAAAAATGTGAGCCGTACATCAGCAATGCCCGCCAAAAATGGGTTCTGACTCTCTTCCTCTCTTTGTCAGGACAGTTGTTTGTTTTTTTAACTGTTTTTGCAAATTTTGTTGGAACGTTATTCTAGAAAACCCATCATGTAATGGCAAATATAGTCAGTGAATCTTTCTCTTTGACTGTGATTAGTTTTGTTTTGATTTTTGAAACCTTTTACCCCAAAGGAAAAGAGCCAGAGGTGTACTGTTACTTATTTTTATCCATGACCTTCAGCGCTGCATCCAGAAATGAAGGCCCAAGATCGAGCTGCAGGAAGAGGAGGGAACCCAGTGAGATCAGAGAGGGACTCCTCTGGTTTTTAGTCTTTTCCTTGACGAGCTCACACCAGGCGGGATGGTCAAACATTATTCTTGGCTGCCCAGTAGAGGTACAGTTTGGAGAGGCTGGCAGAGTGGCGGGACTGGGATGGGGACCCACCAGAGCCCCCATGAAACGCCCCCCTGATAGACCATACTGTTCTCTTCCATGACCCACTCACAGCTAAGCCAGGGCAGCTTTCCCGGACCAAAGGACTCCTGTTTGGAATTGAATGTCATTGTTGACAATAAGGGCAACATGAGTGCTTGTGATCCTCCAAGAGTCGGGAGGGAGATGGTGTTTTTGAGCACCAGGGTGAGCGTTTCTGTGAACATGGAGTCGGTGGTGCTGCGGACCCTGAAGAACTCCATACACCCAGGGAGCTGCCCCATGCATGCTTTCTCCTGGTTTCCAGGTAGAAGATCAGAGGTCCCCTGAAGAAAGGAAATGTCTCCGAAGACATTGAGCTGGCCATCCTTGACCACGTGAATGGTCCGGCAGAAGTCTCCAAGGGGAGGACTGATCATATCGGGAGACAAGATGCCCCTCTGTTTGAATTTCTTTCCTTTCTTATTATTGGCAGCTTTCAGGTAAATTAGGATCTTGGCTGCCCTTCTGGAGTTGGAGAATGTCGATTTCGCAAAAACGGCCACTTTCTTTCCGGATGTTATTTTTCCCCAGTATCCTTTTTGATAGGAACTGTCACATCATTTTTCTCCAGCAGCCTCAGAAGTGGCTGTGAAAGGAGCCAGAGGTGTAGGAGACCTTCTTGGACTTACAGCCGACTGGGGCTTTCTGGAGAGCCGGCTACATCCTCCAGTCCCTGGCACAGTGTGGAGAAACCAGTGGTGCCAAGGATCCCAGCTGCTGCGGGATCCACACAGGTGGATGTGCGGGACCCACACTTCCCGAGGGCACACTCAGCCCCTGCCCATCACGCACAAATCCAGCCAGGTCAGCCAGCACCTGCTCACAGCATTATCTGTGCAGAGGCTGTGTGAAGGCTCCCAGGGCCGGGGTCTCCGGGCTCGCCCCCCGCTGCTTGGACCCCGCAGCTGCGCTCCCTGCCCTCTCAGGCCAGGATAGGAATATTTAAACAACCGTGCTTAGATTCTTATTTGGTCATGTGGGAATTCTAGATTTTCATAGGTACACATCATAGCTACAACTTTTTTTTGGACCAAGATAATACTCACATAGGCTTTTGATAATAACATAAGAACTATAGACCATGAAAAAATAAAACTATTTTCCAAGGTGAGGGTTATTTTTGTTTTTGTAACAGTGAAAACCAAGCCGTCTTTGACAGAGTTGTGAATAGTCACAGATGTGCCTGGAGACAGGAGACGTGGGGATAATTACTAGGACAGAATAGGCACCCAGGCGCTCGGCATGCGTGCTTACGCTCACAGGCATGCTCATGTGCTGCGGCAGCAGGCATCACCCTCCCAACTACTGTTATTTCATTATATTTGCGTGTGAGTTGTCAATCTAGAAATATATTAATGAATGGAGAGGAAAGAAATTATATAATTATAGACCATCTGAAATAGATAAGAAAGTAAAACTATGAGTTAGAAGAAATCATTACAAATATGAAATTTTGTGATAATACTTGATCATGGCATATAACTAGTTGTAATTATTCTTGAGGAAAAATCACACATTTTTATAACAAATCATGTAGCAGGACTTAATTCTGTTCCTATATGGGCACCATAAGTGTATTTCTAATCCTTGGTTAAGTTTAGTGTCTTTAGCACCTCAGTCTCTCTTTTTCTTACTTTAATAGTTAGAAAAGACACATAGTCTATAACTTAGGAGAAAATGGACACAAAAATCTAAGAGTTACCAGTCCCTAGGTATGTGTGAACTTGGTAAATCACTTCATATCCCCTGGAATGAGTTTTCAAAATTTACAGAATGAAAGGTTCTGGCTAATTATTTCCCCCTAGTGCTAATGTCTAAGATTCTATTCAAGAATGTGTTAAACTGTTAAGGAATGTAGATAAAGGTATAGCTTATTCAGTCTAAGTACTGGAGAAAATATAAGAATGAAACTACTAGATGAATAAAAACACCCTTAAGACCTGGAAAATAGTTTGAATAGAAGTCCTTAGCAGGTATTGTAGTTAGGTAGAAACAGTTTAATGCTGCGGTTCTCAGAATTGAGTGTGTATTGCAGTCCCCCAGAGTACTTGTAAAACTCATTACTGGGGTCTAAACCAAGTGTCTCTGATTCATTTGGTCTAAGGTGGGGCCTGAGAATTTGCATTTCTACTTAGTTCCCAGGAGATGCTGATGTGGCTGGTTCAGGAGCCACCCTTGGAGAACCACTCATATAACCTACACTTTCAATTTTAGGATTTTAAAGTGCTCTGGTTTTAAAACTTTGATAGATGGTTTTTTATTTAGCATGTATATTTTAGACTTGTTTTTTAAATTCTATTTATTACTATTATTTTTTAATATTTATTTTATATTGGAGCATAGCTGATTAACAATGTGTTAGTTTCAGGTGTACAGCAAAGCGATTGATATATATATATATATATTTATATACGCAAACACATATCTATTCTTTTTCAAATTCTTTTCCCATTTAGGTTATTACATAGTATTGAGCAGAGTTCCCTGTGCTGTACAGTAGGTCCTTGTTTATTTTAAATATAGCAGTGTGGATAGATTGGGAGTTTGGGATTGACATGTACACACTGCTAGAGTTGTTGAGAATATATGCTACAAGTGTAAAGCACCTGTAACTTCTTAAATGTAGAGCAGTTAATTGATGCTGGTAAATTCATAATAAAGTCTGTATTTCTTATAATCATTAAATCCTTAGATTAGGGTTTTATATAGGCAGAAACAGAATATTTCAATGTATGTTAATGGCAAGAAAATAATAAGTACATTTCAATACAATGGCAGTTGTCAAGTGGAAGCTTTTTCAGAAACACATATGGTCAAGGAAAGAGTGCCACTTTTTATGGGGACTCGCTCACCTGTACGTGTAAGGACCTCTTTGCTTAACTTTAATTTTGCTGCTGTTCACTGCCACCTCCTCTGGATTCTGTACATCAAAGATCCAAACCTGTCTGTAAACTTCTGTGCCTGTTTTAACCCAACTTTTAAAAGCAATTGTACCTTCTTCAAGGACAGCTTCCTATGAAAAAGAAAACAAGTTTGGGTTATTTACTTGTAGTCAATATGGGCACTTGTGGGAGTTGAAAACCTTTAGTTAGTCACCGAAAGCAATAAGCTCAAGTACGTTGCTCATGAGAACCTTTGCAGCCTGCCACATGCTTGGAACAGAAATATTTTCAACACGTTACGATAGCAATCTCTTTTAGTTAACCTTTTACAAAGAGAATCAGTGTGTAATATTGTAGACATGTCTGTCGATTGTAAGGCCAGCCACTGGCAAGCTTTGGAGTGACCCTATGGCAATATTGCGACAGTTCGTAACACAATTTATTAAGCAAATTTTATTAAACTTTTTCCAAAAAATTCTTATCAGGTCAAACATTAACCTCTCCTCTGCCTTCAGTGAGTTAGACTGACGAGGCAAAACAGAAAAACTGAGAGAAAAATGTAGTGGTATTGGAAGCTTTTTCATTTTCTTCAAATCTTGGACAGTTCCAGGGAAGATTATCACTTAACATTTGTCAGACTAAGAAAACACAAATTTCGCTTCTCCCCTTCCAAACCCTGCTCAATGAGGCTTTCCTAACTCTCAGTACATCTGCAGAAATCTATTAGTACGTGTTTCCAAAAATTACAACAGTCTGATTCGTTACTATTAGGTTACTACATTTTAGATAAAAGAATGAAAAAAGGACATGTCCTATTATTCTTTTGTGAAATCCATTAAAAATCTTTGATGCTCCTTGTAGTAAAGACAGAAACAGAAAAAATACCAATGACAGAATCAGAAAGCCCTACATTAGAAATTGGCTCCTGTGCTTTAGGAGCTGGGACTGAGGAGAAAGTCACCAGATTCCCTGGGTCAATTTCAGTATCTGTAAAACGAGGGAATTATAGATGGTCTCGTGGTTTCCTTCCAAGGCTTTCACTCTCTGAGCAGCAAGCCTCTGAAGATCTAGTAGCTAACGCAGACAAAGGTGACTTTGTAGCAGGCAGTGTTTCCAAGTAAGTACCTTGGGAGGAATGCCCAGGTGTAAAGCTCCAACTTACCTTAGTGCTAGAGGAAGAGGGAGAAAAGTATTTCACACAAAATGAGCCTAACAAGACCCATGAATACAGGGACAGTCTGACCTGTTTGTTTCCTTCACCTGCTTTCATAGAATGATGGATCAGGAAAGGACATTGGACATTAGTACATTTTCTAGGAGAGCGTGCTGAGGCTCTGAGAAACCAGGTGTCTGGCCCAAGGGTAACCGAGGCAAATACCTAGAAGTAGAATCATGACGAGGATCCTAGTCTCTGACCCTTAGGCTGGTCCTCTTTTACACCGTGTTTTTACTATTTTTTGTTCCTGTCACCTCTGCACTTAGTTGGTAGAAGTCAAGTTAAGTTTCATATCTTCAGGAAACTTTACTTATTACTTAGTGGAGAAATAAGGGAATTCCTTAGAGAAGAACAGGGCATCAGGTATAATGCCTTTACAAAACCCTGTGCTGTTGCCATCCTTTTACACTGGGTACATTGGAGCTGCTAAAGTGATGTTAGATCTTACTTTTTTACAACGAATTATCCTTAAAAAATGCTTTATTGCTCCTAAAAATCTTATTTCCATAGTAAGCTGAAAATTAAGACAATATTGCACATAGATAAAGTATTATGGCTGTTCCTCTAAATGTAAAGGTGTTTATGAGGGTGTTGAAGCTGAAATCTATACTGAAGTTGAAATCTGTGTTAATTTACCCATTTCAAGAAAACATACGAACCTACACATTATTACTCTCACACTAGTGATATAAGAATCTTAAGGACTAATATAATATCAATTGTTTACCATGTACCTCTCAAGGCACATATTTTATTTCAGTTCTTAATGAAAGGAACTCTATAAGTACTTAAAGAATTGAAAAGGGACTGTGACAGAATGTACTTGGCAGGACAGAAAACTTCCTCATTCTAATGGTTATGCATTTAATATCAAAAGGCATTGTAAGCATATCATGTCTTTTTTCTAAAAGCCATGAATCACTTTGCCTTATTTGTTCATCTGGAGATATTTTTTCAACTGGGAAAGCTGAAACGCAAAGAGTTGAAATGAATGCATTGAATTATCAGCTATTAGAGTTAGGGTCATCTAATTCCATCCATTTTTTAGAGGTAGAAGTAGGTCCTACAGAAAACAGATGTCCGATTCAATATTGTATGACAATTTAGTAGTAGATAATGGAGAATCAGGTCTTTTACTACAATTTTGTGTGGTTTGCATAACACCACGATTTGTTCACAAAGAAAAAAATACTGAAACAGTCAGAATAGGAATGCATTTCTTCTGATCCTAACACTACTATATGTACTAGAAAATTGTATAGACCTCATTGACTACTAAGATTATTTTATCATCAGTTCCTCTAATTTTAAAGGGAGCAAAAGTTTTTATGTCCTTTGTGAATTTCAGAGGCCTTGATTTTAAATTGACTTTGGACTATCTGTCTATTTTGCAAATCTTTTGCTAAATTTGAAGTACAAAGGTGTTAATTATGTGTATAGAAAAATTAATATAATTTAAGCTCCTCGCACTTGGCTGATTCAGCCCTAGTAATGACTGGATTCCAGCCTGATGACTCTCACATGGCTTGGTCTCCAGCTGAGTTGAAAGACATTTACCTAGAAACTTCTACATTTGCTACATTTTGTTTACCTTGAAACTTCTATTTTGCTACATTTGCTAATTTGAAAGCAGACGTTGGGAAGAGTAATAGTTTTTATCTAGTCACATGGTCATTTGATTATTGCTGTTACAGGAAAACAGTACTCATCCACATGACTGGCAACTTTAGTATAACTATTAAAATGTCCTTGATACCGTCCTATGCATGAAGTATGTAGAGCACATATGTCAAAAATATATTGTCCCATTTCTCAAGGCTCTTATAGTGTACAGGAGACAGTATCATGTGTAGCATATTTTAATCTATGAGTTGATTTCCTTACCCTACTTCCAGCCTGACCAAGTCCATTGGCTTCTTTACTCAAAGCCTAGAGTGAAGTGGTTAACAATGAAACAAGATGCTATGAGTTTGATCCCCAGTTTGGTCATGTGCTAACCATTTAAACTTGGGCAGGTTATTTAATTTTTTTGTACCTCAGTTTCCTTATCTGTAAAATGGGGTAATAATAATATTAAGTTGAACTATACGAAATTAGTATTTTTCAAAGTCAAAATAAGTAGAACATGGTGTAATTAAATATTTATCCTCATGGGTTGTTATAGGATTTATTAAATGTGAGCATTTAGAACAGTGTTAGCACATAGCAAGCATTCAATAAACGTTGGCTACTGTTATACAAATCCTATCCACCCCTTAGAAGGAGAACTCTCATCTCACTTGCTTCCCATCTTGCTTTAACTACTTTGCTCTTAGCATTACTGTCTAAACCAGTTATGTGGTAATAACATGTAAAATCCTGTAGCACTTCCTTTTCTGCTATTTAATTATTTATTTATTCTCCATCCAGTGAAATCAAAACTTCCTTAAAAAGCAGAAACATACTGAAAATAGTTTTCATCTTCTCCACTCACTACCAAAATCTGTTCTATTTGGGACCAATTACAAGCAGTTTCCACGTCCAAAAATTTTTCTAATACGTGTATGCATTATGCACATGCATGTGTGTACAGGCTGAGAGAAAGAAATCTTTAATTTGCTTCTTGGTGTTCTGCAGTTAATATCATAAGGAAATTAAATTTATTTTAAATTACCTGTGTTATACAGTATTCACTAAGCACTTGCAAGTGATATGAAGAATGTCAAGGTGACAAATTATCCTTTGTAAATAGTGGCAAAACTTTGTCCTTTTTCTGAAGTCCTTTGGTAGTTTCTACTCTCCACATACATGGCAGCTCATGCCATTGACTTTTAGTCTGTCTAGCAAGATTGCATAAACCTGCTGGTCCAGAAAAATCTACCAGGAATCATAGTCTAAAATACTGGTAAAAAAAAAAATAGTTTTCAGCTATAACGCATAAAAATCATGAAGTCCTTAAAAAACATCCCTGGGGCTTCCCTGGTGGGGCGCAGTGGTTGGGAGTCCGCCTGCCGATGCAGGGGATGCGGGTTCGTGGCCCGGTCCGGGAGGATCCCACATGCCACGGAGCGGCTGGGCCCGTGAGCCGTGGCCGCTGGGCCTGCGCGTCTGGAGCCTGTGCTCCGCGGCGGGAGAAGCCACAGCGGTGAGAGGCCCGCGTACCGCAAAAAGAAAAAAAAAATCCCTTGGAAATAAACAGTAAAGAAATATGAATATATATATATATATATATGAAGTAAACTGTATGGACTATTTTAGGCCATTTCAAATGCTGGAGTCTGGGGACCATCTTTTAGAATTGAAAGGTATCGTAGAGTACCAAATCTATACTTTAGAAATTAGATAACATCATGAGATGATTTTCTGATCTGTTAAAATTAAGCACTTTAATTCTTCTTTTTTTTTAAAAAAAAAAATAGTGTTTGTATGCAGGTAATAACGTTCCCAATTTGGTATTAGTCCATTAAATGAAGCAAGTAATCTGCAATGATTTCAATGGTAAACAAAAACTGACCAGTACTAAAACTTGTATATATTTGTGAAATAACAGCATTAGCTTAAGTGCTCTTGAGGTAGGGGTAAGACACTTGGCTCACTGGGTTTACACATAATTCAGAGATGTGACTCCTACTGTTGGCCAGTTTCTCTGTCTTTTTGTCTCTACATTCAGACTCTCTAGAAAGTGAACCTATTGCTTAGTTTTATCTGTAATCTCTATAGTAATGATCAAATCTCTCTGAGCACTGACCTTTGAAATACATCTGATGTTCATATCAAATCACTTCTAAAACCTCTGTTTTTTATTCTTCTAAGGAATACATCTCCTTCAGTAACTCAACTGGTTATCTTACAGTTTGCAACTTTCACTCCTCTCCCTATTTAGTCCTTTTATTCCATTGTATCCCATCACCCATCAGTTATATGTACTCCACCACACTAGACCAGAGTGCCTTTTATTATGTGCAGACTGTGCAATAATCTTATTAAAAGGGAGTCTTAAACGACACAAAAAAAAAGCTGGAAAAAGAAAAACACGTGGAGGCTATATAATGTACTTCTAAACAGCCAGTGGATCTCTGAAGAAATCAAAAATTACCTAGAGACAAATGAAAATGAAAACATGATGATCCAAAACCTATGGGATGCAGCAAAAGTAGTTCTAACAGGGTAATTTATAGCTATACAAGTTTACCTCAGGAAACAAGAAAAAACTCAGTTAAACAACCTAACCTCACACCTAAAGGAACTAGAGAAAGAAGAACAAAAAGAAATCCAAAGTTAGTAGAAGGAAAGAGATCATAAAGATAAGAGCAGAAATAAATGAAATAGATACAAAAAATAAACATCAAGAAAACTAAAAACTAGTTCTTGGAAAAGATAAATAAAATTGATAAACCTTTAGCCAGACTCATCAGAAAAAAAAGAGAAATGGCCCAAATCAATAAAATCAGAAATGAAAAAGAAGTTACAACCAACACCACAGAAATGCAAAAAATCATAAGAGACTGCTGTGAACAACTGTGTGCCAATAAATTTAAAGAATATTTCTTTCAATAAAAAATGGTATATATGTATGCAAAAAACATATCAACATACTCTTTGGACATAATTAAAAGCAATTATTTCTTTTAATATGCATACCTAATATAGTTTTTTATCAAAATTTGGATATTTAGACTTAAGATGACAGTGCATTCATATAGAATATACATCATGCTTTGACCATTTCTCTATCATGTAGAGTTTCAATTGTTCATTATCACCTTTGTGTCGAAGACACAGAATTGCCAGTTACAATGAAATATAAAACAGGCACCCTAAGCCAAAAAGGGATGGAAGATAGAATGAATCAGGATGACAAGAAACATTCTTGATAATACTTGTACCTTTTTAACTGTCTTCTCAATAAGCATGTCTCCAACTGGCATTAGAATACCTCCAAACACAGCCATGAGTGCACCAATGACAGCACCAGCGATGAGCCCACAGTTTCGATCGCAGCCCATTTTTCTTGTTCAGGGGGACAGCTAAGGTTCAGCACCTGCTTCTTTCAAACTCCCAGGTCTGATGAACGTGGTTTCCAGAAGGTCTGGTTCTATCATTGGAAGGAGATTATAAAGCAGAAACTTAAATACCAGTAGAAAAAGATCAAAGTAAACATGCAACTGAAACAGATCATTTTGCCAGTTATAAATAAACAGATGCTTTTTTTAATATACAAACTTTCTAGGTTTTGTCCTTTCTTAATTTGAACTACCTACCAGTGGTAGAAGTAATACATATTGTCACATAGAGCAGTTCTTTAAATTTCTCCTCTTTTAAATTTTCTTTCTATGGATGATTAACACACTGAAATATTAACTAAGGAGAATATGCTTACTGTACTCTCACCCCCTGCCTACCTTCCATCAGCTTGGGACACTTACGGGCATCTTTATCCTCTATCTGGCTTCTCCACTCAAACACAACCAACTGTCTGCACCCTACCTGGAGTTCTGCAAACTGCATGTGGGTGGACTGATGTCTTTTCCATCCAAATGCTAAGCAAATACAGTGACAGATGTTTTCTTTACTATTCCTTTTTCACAAATAGAAAGATAGGGATTTTATAGGAAATGATCTGATGAGTCTGCGAAGAAATCATTCTTTCTAATCATTTATAAGCTATCTGTTAAAACAGAAAACATGGGTAAGTTGGGAAAATAATACTAGAATAGTCTCTAATATCATCAAAATTATAAGCACCATTAAAAGAAAATTCCACTGTCAGGAATATTGAGTTCATGCCTGAATTCCTTCTTATGCACAGTGTTGAAAACATTGAAATATTTTAAAGAAGAGTATTTTCAATTTAATTTTTAGTAACTGACTTTTAGATAGTTGTGAGGTAAAAAAGATTTGAAGAAAATATGTAAGGTAGAGGATACCTAGTTTCTGTCACAGCATTGGTTTCTTACTAGTCTCAAATGAATTTTTTAACATATTCAAATGCAATATTGTTCATTTTGTCATGGACAGCTGACTCATGCCAATTCTGTTAAAATATGTAGATTGTGTCAGTATGTATTTCACCTAGTCAGTCTTATCTTTGGTATCTTCATATAATATATGCTCCTTTCATAAAGATTGAAAGAAAACTCTTAGTGGAATTGGTAGATCCTTCTGTAACAAAGTTAGTAAGAATTTGCTATTCTAGTGTTCAAAAACCTGTTCATTTGAGATATTTTGTTTGCAGCAGCATTTTTTAAAATGGGGTTGACCTGACATTGATAAATGGAATGTGCTTTGTACTTATAAAAAATTATTCCCTGCTTCAAAATGCCCCTGGCAAAGGAAAACAAAAATGCCAACAGAATGGAGGCTATAGACAGAAAAGACACACAACCAATATTTTTGTCATCCTCGTGACTATAATAATAAAACGTATATTAATTAATTCTTTAAGAAAATAAGGAAAGTTAGGTTTCCCCCCAAATGTATAACAAAATTATAACCATTTTTCATGGCATTTTTTTTTATACACCAGGTTCTTATTAGTCATCAATTTTATACACATCAGTGTATACATGTCAATCCCAATCGCCCAATTCAGCACACCACCATCCCCACCCCACTGCGGCTTTCCTCCCTTGGTGTCCATACGTTTGTTCTCTACATCTGTGTCTCAACTTCTGCCCTGAAAACCAGTTCATCTATACCATTTTTCTAGGTTCCACATACATGCATTAATATACGATATTTGTTTTTCTTCTTCTGACATACTTCATTCTGTATGACAGTCTCTAGATACATCCACGTCTCAACAAATGACTCAATTTTGTTCCTTATTATGGCTGAGTAATAATCCATTGTATATATGTACCACAACTTCTTTACCATTCATCTGTCAATGGGCATTTAGGTTGCTTCCATGACCTGGCTATTGTAAACAGTGCTGCAATGAGCATTGGGGTGCATGTGTCTTTTTGAATTATGGTTTTCTCTGGAATATGCCCAGTAGTGGGATTGCTGGATCATATGGTAAATCTATTTTTAGTTTTTTAAAGAACCTCCATACTGTTCTCCACAGTGGCTGTATAAATTTATATTCCCACCAACCGTGCAAGAGGGTTCCCTTTTCTCCACACCCTCTCCAGCATTTGTTGTTTGTAGATTTTCTGCTGATGCCCATTCTAACTGGTGTGAGGTGATACCTCATTGTTGTTTTGATTTGCATTTCTCTAATTATTAGTAATGTTGAGCAGCTTTTCATGTGCTTCTTGGCCATCTGTATGTCTTCTTTGGAGAAATGTCTATTTAAATGTCTTCTGCCCATTTTTAGATTGGGTTGTTTGTTTTTTTAATATTGAGCTGCATGACCTGTTTATATATTTTGGAGATTAATCCTTTGTCTGTTGATTCATTTGCAAATATTTTCTGCCATTCTGAGGGTTGTCTTTTCATCTTGTTTATGGTTTCCTTTGCTGTGCAAAAACTTTGAAGTTTCATTAGGTCCCATTTGTTTATTTTTGTCTTTATTTCCAGTACTCTAGGAGGTGGATCAAAAAGATCTTGCTGTGATTTATTTCAAAGAGTGTTCTTCCTATGTTTTCCTCTAAGAGATTTATAGTGTCTGCTCTTACATTTAGGTCTCTAATTCATTTTGAGTTTATTTTTGTGTATGGTGTTAGGGAGTGTTCTAATTTCATTCTTTTACATGTACCTGTCCAGTTTTCCCAGCACCACTTATTGAAGAGACTGTCTTTTCTCCATTGTATATCTTTGCCTCCTTTGTCATAGATTAGTTGACCATAGGTGCGTGGGTTTATCTCTGGGCTTTCTATCTTGCTCCATTGATCAATGTTTCTGTTTTTGTGCCAGTACCGTACTGTCTTGATTACTGTTGCTTTGTAGTATAATCTGAAGTCAGGGAGTCTGATTCCTCCAGCGCCGTTTATTTCCCTCAGGACTGCTTTGGCTATTGGGGGTCTTTTGTGTCTCCATACAAATTTTAAGATTATTTGTTCTAGTTCCGTAAAAAAATGCCATTGGTAATTTGATAGGGATTGCATTGAATCTGTAGATGGCTTTGGGTAGTATAGTCATTTTCACAATATTGATTCTTCCAATCCAAGAACATGGTATATCTTTCCACTTGTTGGTATCATATTTAATTTCTTTCATCAGTGTCTTATAGTTTTCTGCATTCAGGTCTTTTGTCTCCCTAGGTAGGTTTATTCCTAGGTATTTTATTCTTTTTTTTGCAATGGTAAATGGGAGTGTTTCCTTAATTTCTCTTTCAGATTTTTCAACATTAGTGTATAGGAATGCAAGGGATTTCTGTGCATTAATTTTGTATCCTACAACTTTACCAAATTTATTGATTAGCTCTAGTAGTTTTCTGGTGGCATTTATAGGATTCTCTATGTATAGCATCATGTCGTCTGCAAACAGAGACAGTCTCACTTCTTCTTTTGCAATTTGTATTCCTTTTATTTCTTTTTCTCCTCTGATTGCCGTGGCTAGGACTTCCAAGACTATGTTGAATAATAGTGGTGAGAGTGGATATCCTTGTCTTGTTCCTGATCTTAGAGGAAATGCTTTCAGTTTTTCACCACTGAGAATGATGTTTGCTGTGGGTTTGTCATATATGGCTTTTATTATGTTGAGGTAGGCTCCCTTTATGCCCACTTTCTGGAGAGTTTTTATCATAAATGGGTGTTGAATTCTGTCAAAAGGTTTTTCTGCATCTATTGAGATGACCATATGGTTTTCATTCTTCAGTTTGTTAATGTGGTATATCAGATTGATTGATTTGCATATATTGAAGAATTCTTGCATCCCTGGGATAAATCCCACTTGATCATGGTGTATGATCCTTTTAATGTGTTGTTGCATTCTGTTTGCTAGTATTTTGTTGAGGATTTTTGCATCTATATTCATCAGTGATACTGGTCTGTAATTTTCTTTTTTTGTAGTATCTTTGTCTGGTTTTGGAATCAGGGTGATGGTGGCCTCATAGAATGAGGTTGGGAGTGTTCCTTCGTACACACTTTTTTGGAAGAGTTTGAGAAGGATGGGTGTTAGCTCTTCTCTAAATGTTTGATAGAATTCACCTGTGAAGCCATCTGGTTCTGCATTTTTGTTTGCTGGAAGATTTTTAATCATGGTTTCAATTTCATTACTTGTGATTGGTCTGTTCATGTTTTCTATTTCTTCCTGGTTCAGTCTTGGAAGGTTATCCCTTTCTAAGAATTTGTCCATTTCTTCCAGGTTGTCCATTTTATTGGCATAGAATTGCTTGTAGCAGTCTCTTAGGATGCTTTGTATTTCTGTGGTGTCTGTTGTAACTTCTCCTTTTTCATTTCAAATTTTATTGATTTGAGTCCTCTCCCTCTTTTTCTTGATGATCTGGCTAATGGTTTATCAATTTTATCTTCTCAAAGAACCAGCTTTTAGTTTTATTGATCTTTGCTCTTGTTTTCTTTGTTTCTATTTCATTTATTTCTGCTTGATCGTTATGATTTCTTTCCTTCTGCTAACTTTGGGTTTTGTTTGTTCTTCTTTCTCTAGTTCCTTTAGGTGTAAGGTTAGATTTTTTATTTCAGATATTTCTTGTTTCTTGAGATAGGCTTGTATAGCTATAAACTTCCCTCTTAGAACTGCTTTTTTGCATCCTATCGGTTTTGAATCATCGTGTTTTAATTGTCATTTGTCTCTAAGTATTTTTTTATTTCCTCTTTGATTTCTTCAGTGATCTCTTGGTTATTTAGTAACGTATTGTTTAGCCTCCATTTGTTTGTGTTTTTTATGTGTTTTTCCCTGTAATTGATTTCTAATCCCATATCATTGTGGTCAGAAAAGATGCTTGATGTGATTTCTGTTTTCTTAAATTAACTGAGACTTGATTTGTGACCCAAGATGTGATCTATCCTGGAGAACATTCTGTGCGCACTTCAGAAGGAAGTGTAATCTGTTGTTTTTGGATGCAATGTCCTATAAATATCAATTAAATCTATCTGGTCTGTTG